GAGTAACTCCCACCCACTCACCCACAATCAAGAGGACCGTCGCGGAGGGCCCTGGCCAAGCACATGGCAGGTTTAAACAAGGCCTTAATGTGGGCAGATTATACTGGTCAGCCGGTCACAGCGTCTCCACCACCTAGAAGTTCAAGGTTCCAGATCTAAAGTTTCAGGAAGGGAAGAGAAGGACTAAGTCCCACTAGACCCAAGTCCAAGGCACAGGACATGCCCTCCTGCTGCTGCTCCCGGGACGATCATCTTTGCAAAGGAATAATGTTGCAGCTGGAGGGGGAACAAAAGGAACAGCTTAGGAACAGGTGGAAGACCACAAGGTGAGCTAAGCTGAGCCCTCCACTAGATTCTCAAATGCTTTTTAAACAAAAGCCTAGTTAATGGAAAGCCATTTAAATCAGACCAAGAGTCTGAGATCGACCAGCACTCCCTCCCCTCCACACCTGCCTCACTCACACACCACGCCGCGTTCCGGGGCTTCCTCCCCCAATTCCAGCACTCCCTCCCCGCAGCCCTCCCGCTGACCAACACTTGGTAGGCGGAAGGGACACAGGCACTTTACCCCAGCAGTCCTTTTCCCGCCCAGCGTGTTGGGACAAGCCGAAGCTGGTGTCTCTCCCCTCTTCGGATCACTGTCACATTCAGCGGCCTCTGAAAGGAGAAGCAGCTCCATTTAGAGTTGGCCTCCTTAGTACAAAGAGAAGCTCAGGCTAAAACGCAAAGATAAGCTTTGTCACCCATCACATCAGAAGGACTTTTATCCTAACTCTAACTGCAGTGTTGGCATATGGGGGACACAGGATTCCTGGAGCTACAATGAGGGCTATGAGTCCAAACCACCTTATCGAGAAACGTGTCCAAAAAAAAAAAAGAACCTTTAATAGATGCATACAAGATACATCTTTTTGTGTGTGTGACAAATATGTATGAAGAAGCAGTTGCCATTTCAAGCATATTTTTATGTGTACGATTCACTAACGTTAATCATGTTCACTACGCTGGGCAGCTATCACCAACAAGACATACTCTGCAAAACTCCAGTAAGATCAAGGAACCAAAT